GGTGCTCTGCTAGCAAAAATTTGCAAAATTTGACACCATCAGATCAGGATTAAACAAAGACTGTGAATGGCTATCCAACTACAGAAACAGTTTCTCCTCCCTTGGTGTTCACACCTCAACTGCTAGCAGAGCACCTCACCCTCCCTGATTGAACTAACCTCGTTATCTCCACACTGATATATACCTGCCTCTGGAGATTTCCATTACTTGCATCTGAAGAAGTGAGGTTCTTACCCACAAAAGCTTATGCTCCCAGTACTTCTGTTAGTCTCAAAGGTGCCACAGGACCCTCTGTTGCTTTTTATAAAAACATGTTGGTTTACAACATAATAGAGCCTTTACCCTACGTTTTGTACATCTTTTTGCTACCTAGGAGGTACACTATAACTATATATATTTATTTAAGCAATTATATAGCTTAATATTTTCAGATTCTTATTTAATTGTACATGTTTAGTATGTTAGAAAATAGTGAATAATCTATTGCTTATTTACTAGATAATAAACTTTTTGCTTATGATTTGTATAAAGCTGTATTAGGATGGCAACTGGAATTTAATTAAACACACAAAACAGCATATAACATTAATTTTTATTTAACAAAGCAACCTTAAATGTTTGATACATAAACTTCTCTTATCAAAATATGTTTCATATTTACAATGAAATGATTTATTAAATGGGGATTAACTATTCTTTAATTTAAATCAGATTTTTAATTTTGTTTAAATTTGGTTTTTTTAGATAGTTATTTTTAAAAAGAAAAATGTATAGTGTAAATAAAATAAAATAAATGCAATTTAAATAAAAAAACCTCTGGCTTCACGTCATAAAACATTTCAGGCCAAATTCACACCTTGTGTAATTGGGTACAAGCCTAATGCAGTCAGTGGATTTGCACCTGCTTACATCAGGTCTGAAATTGACCATTTATTGACCTCACTCTCCCCCTCTCCCTTCCTCCCCTCCCACCCCCCACAGTTTTGTATGTAAGCTAATGGAGAAGCTAGCAACAACAACAACAAATCTCCAGTGCCATGTATTGACTGCCAGTGTCCTGGATCCTTGTCAATCAGGCTTCAGGCTATGGCAATGTCCATCAACAGCACTTGTAAACAGTACTCATTCTGCTAGACCTGTCTGAGTCACTTGACACCATGGTGGCCTCAAGTGGAGTATTGTGTCCAGTTCTGGTGCCACATTTCAGGAAAGATGTGGACAAGTTGGAGAAAGTCTAGAGAAAAGCAACAAAAATCATAATCAGCTGAAAAAAGAAGAACAGGAGTACTTGTGGCACCTTAGAGACTAACAAATTTATTAGAGCATAAGCTTTCGTGGACTACAGCCCACTTCTTCGGATAATCAGCTGAGGATCTAATAGTGTTCCTCCACTGCAACCTTATTCATGTCTGTGGTTGAGAAATATCCAAGAGAAATCTCAGTCACTAGTATAAAACTATATACATTCATATACTATGGAAGTACCAGGATGAAATGGCAAAACTCCCATTGACCTCAGTGAGCCCAGGATTTCACACCAAGAAAGATTATTTCCTGAGTTTAAAAAGCACACTATGCAAACTGATGGTGTAAATAGAAAAAATAATTTTACTAGGATGGCCAGTAGATGGCTGTGTTGCACCACCAATTACATCCATCATCCTGGCCTAACACTGCAAAATAATTATCTGGTCACAAAAAAGTGGCTTCATCATGCCAATAAATGTCAGTTGTTCCAGTCAACACCAATTGTAATTTGTGATATAACTGGTATATTATCAGGCAAATGTATGTATTGCTCGGCAGAGTTAAGCATAAACATGAATTAATTTACTTTGATGTTTTGTATAGGGGATTCACTTGGATCCCAGAGAGACAGAGAATGCCTCACTTATTCTTATAACTGCCTTCAAATACTATCATACCATAGATTTTGATAGCGATTGTCCACAGATCTTTTCTGATTGTCATACCCTTATGCGTGGGTAGTGTACCTATAGGTCTGCGTGTGCTAAAGATAAACCAAGCACTTAATCCCTTACAGTAGTCTATGCATTCATCTACTTCAGTGGTTCCCAAACTGGGGTTCGTAAAATGTTACAGGGGGTTCTCGGGAAAAAATTCCCTAATTGTGGACAGAGCTGTCCCTAGGGACGCCGGGCAGCACGGGGCCCCTGACTTCCAAGAACTAAGCAGACCAAAGCAAGCATATCTATCACACTGAGGAGATTTAAACTGCAAGACTCCTTATAAGAAATGGAAAGGGAGGTGGATATTTTTTGCTGTTTTTAAAATTAAATAGGCAGCTAGTATTGTTTTTTAAAATTATTATGAAAAACAAGTTTAAGCTTTGTTGTAACGTGCGTTGTTTGCCTGGACTGCTCAAGACCTGAATGCTTGTGTAGGAGGAACTCTTTGAGTTGGCTTCTAAAATACCTTCATGCTGTTTCACATCTGATATTCCTTGATGCAACATAGGAGACTTGTCTTATAACAGGCTTATTCAAAGTGATACAAGCTACGAAAGTGAGATCTTGGAAGAGTGTTGCCGTTTTCATAATGTAATAAAAATACTGTAATGATAAATAATAATTAATAATAAATAGTGTGTAATAAGATTGTCATAAAAACAAATTTTATATTTCCAAGATCACTGCTTTTATAATTTATACTCAGGTAAAGGAAAAAATCCCTGGAAATATTCATTTTTAGGGGGGTGTTCATGAGACTTAACGTTTTAGTGAAAGGGGTTCACAGGTTGTTAAAGTTTGGAAACCACTGATCTACTTCATTTAACTTGAGTGGAGGGCTACATTTTTTTTTGATTTACAGTAATTAAAATTGAGTTAAAAATGGTGTATACATTTAGAAAGGACAGGCTCTTTTTTACAGCCAGAAGAAGCGGTGACATACGATACCTAGATGATAGGGGCAACAAAAG